GTTAAGATTTACATGCAAATTTCGTGGAATTTTATGATTGGAACAGCATTTAGTTAAAATCATTTATTTAAATTAACCGAATTGATTGAAGGAACCAGATTTATTATATCCGGATGAAACGAAGGAACTGGATTTATTATATTCGGATGAAACGAAGGAATCGGATTTATTATATCCGGATGAAATGAAGGAATCTGGATTTATTGTATCTAATCCAGATTTAAAATATAAATCCAGTTTTAACCTCTAGACCGACGCAATCAAAGGTTCCCTTTTTCATTAATTTGTATTCGAAGTTTTACAAAGAAAAAAGTTCATTGTCGAATTGTATAAAATAAGTATAAACCAAACTGAACAACAAAGTTAAGAAATTTCGAATTTAATATTAATATGTTTGGGTTGCTCACTGGAAAACAAAAAATACTAGAGTCATGTTATTTATTTTTAGCCACATGTAACGCAGGTCTAACCGTCCACACCACAAGATGATGATAGTTCATTTAGCAAGAGGGAATAGAGCTGTAGAGTCAAACAATCGTTTCTTTATTAATAAATAAAATATGATAAAGAACAGTGGTGTATGGTTTGTTAGAAGCCAAGGTAGATTATGGAGTCTACAATAAGACTCTGAGATCTAATCCTATTATATCATTTCTCAAGGATGCGTCATGAATACAAACGTTATAACTTTGCAATAGAAAGACATCAGAGATCACAAAAAGCTCTCTTGAGTCTTTCCCAGTCAATTGTATTCTTCCATATGTTTACCTCTGTCAACCCCTGAACTAAGCTAAGGCGGTTCCTATATTTATAATATCTGCTAAATTATGTATAGCTAATGCTAATGCTAATATAAATCCTTCTATACTACCATGTCCTGCCCTGTCCTGTTCTTGTTGATCATTCCAGATTTGGATCTTCCATATCTGGAATGCAAAATCCCGTTGATCACATTTTTTGAGTGATACTGAGGTAGATCGTTGTTGCTAACCTCTTGTGTGATAGTTCTAGAGCCTTCTTTGACCTTCTAGCATCACACCACATCAACCTCTTTTAGCTCACGTGATCAAATAGTCACTTTGTCTGATTTTGTTGCAGCATACCCCATATAATACAGTAGTGGTGGAAAATAATGATAATTTTTAAGCTATATGTTTTTTCGATCAATCTTTAATTTATTTATAAAATATTTTAATAACATATAATATAATACCACAAGTAAATAAAAATAAAATTTTAATGGTCAATTATATGACTCTTCTTTTCAATAATGTCTTTCAAACGTTTTTTCATACTCGCACATAAATTCAATAGGAGGTCTAAATCAAGATTTTCTCATTCAGATCGAATAATTGACAAAAAATCATTTAATCCAACTGATTTTTTTTGTGCTATACATTAATTTACCCTTTTTTCTACCCTTTTTTTTCATTATAGCCCATAAGTTCTCTATAGGATTGATATCTGAAGAATAGGATGGCCAATCAAGCACTCGCAGACATTTTTCTTGAAGAAGAATTGTTGTTAATTTTGCCTTGTATTTGAGATCATTATCTTGTTGGAATGTCTACCTTCTTCTAAAGATCCTTGTAGCACTAGTAAAAAGATTTTTAGTTAAAATATTCTGATAAAGTTCTCCATTCATATTTTCAGTAAAATAATAAAATTTCACAATTCCGCGTATACAGAAAGCACCCCATGCATGAACTTGAGTGGATGTTTTACAACTACACGTTGTGGTTTTTCTTCTCCAATCTTATATCTTACTAATGTTATATTACGAAATAGTTGAAAAGTAATTTCATTAGAAAAATGACATTTTCTCATTTTTCATTTAGGTGAGATTTTGACTATTCAACTCTGCGTTCCTTGGTAGCAACAATCAACATTAGTATTGAAGTTGATATGCTAACGCGATAAACTAGGTTAAAAAGATTTTCACAGATAGTTCTAGAAGCAATATTAAGGTTTGGATATGCTTGGTTATTATATTATTTATTATAAATATATTCAGAACTATAATAAAAAATGATATTTATAAAAATTATAAATTTTTTCTATTATTAATTTTCAAATAAAAGCTAAAAAAAAAAATTTTTCTATTAATTGTTAGAATAAGTAAATGTTAATATAAGTGTTTATTTATTAATTTCTAAAGTGATAAATAAATTCTTTGAATAAAAATTATTTTACTTTTAATTAAAGATGTTCTGAATGATAAATTAAATAAATAAAAATAATTATTAAACTGCTATATTAGTATAATTAATCAGTTGTAATTTTTATTATTTGTTAATCTTATTTCTATAGCTTTTTTAATATATTAAAGATATAACTGCACTTTAACATTTTTCTAAATAAAATAAGTAGTTATTTATATAAAATTTTTATTTATTAAAAAATTCAAACTCAAGATTACAAATTTTTAATTGTAAAAAAGTCAATTATAGCTTTAGTTCATATACACTATCTGGAAATAAGTTTATACGATTTTGAAAAAATAGTAAATAAATTTGTGTAGTTTTGAAAAAATAGTTTATTATCATTTTTTTTAACAAAATATTAATATCTAGTTGGCCAACCATTATTGGCAATACATGCTTCTATTCTTTGAGACATACTATCAATTAATTTTAGATAAGTTTCTTGTGGAATTTTTTTTTATTCTTCTTTTAGTTGCACTTCTAAATCTACAAGTTTTTTAGGCAGATCTGAATAGTTACGCAACAAATGTTTAAGATGATCTCAAAGATGCTTAATGAAATTTAAAATCTGGAGATTGAGCAGGCCAGTTAATTAACATTTTAATTTTTTTTTTAGCAACCCATGCTTTAACATCATTAGCTGTATGAATGGGTGCATTATTGTGCTAAAATTTGTAAGATCAGTTACAAAACTTTGAATTAATAAATAGCAATAGGTTATCATCTAAGATTTTTATATAATCATGCCAATTGATTATTCCTTATATTTTCACTAAAGGATCCAATCCTTTGCCTAAAAAACATTCCTAAACTATGACTCTGCCACCACCATGTTTAATAGATAGATTCAGGTTTTCAATATTAAAATGAGTGTTTGGTTCATGCCAAACTCGAGAAGAACCATCATTACGAAAAAGAGTAAACTTTGATTTATCACTCTATATGACATTTCTCTATTGTTATACTGTCTAATTTTGTCTTTCTAAACACCATTCTAACCATTTTTGGCGTTGATTTTTATTTAAAAATGGTTTTTTGCAGCTCAATAAGAATTGTATCCAATTTGATACAAATTCTTTTGAATTGTTTTGGTACAAATATCTTGACTGGTTATTGCTAAAAATTTCTTTTATATTATATCAGCTGAAGCTTTATTATTTTTTTTAACAATTTTTTTAAAATTTTGCGATATTTATCATCAAATAATGGAGGCTGATCACTTCTTTTTTTGCTTAACATATTATCTGAATCTCTATATTGTTGAATTATTGTTCTAATTATGGACTCTGGTCGATTCATAATTCTAACAATATCAGACTTTCTGTAGTCACTTTTATATAGTCTGATTATTTGTACTCATTTAATAATGGTAAGTTCAGAATTTTTACCCATTTTATTAGAAATAAGTTATTAGATTGATTATCATTACGTTATATTTATTTATGTTTATAATTGTTTTTATTTTATATGTGTTACAATAACAAACAGTTATATAAACAAGAATCAGAATTTTCAATTGATACTAAAATCAATTGATTTTATTATATACAATTTCAAATAAAATTTAAAAAACTGATTGCGCAAACTTATTTCCAGGTAGTGTACTTTATCATAATTACTGTTATTTTTTAAATATGTCAATAAAAATCCTATTTTATCCATTTGAATATATACTACTTATCATTATAATTCAAATCTTAAATTATTTGTAATTTAAAAATTAAATTGTATATTATAATAAATTAATTATATAATGGTATACAGTCAACTCTTTCTACAATGAATTTTGATATAACGAATTTTACAATACAACGGATTTTCAGTGTCAGACAGATT